GTCACATTTATACCAATACTCAACACGGAAGCGGGAGATTCAACACGGTACCAGAATATTCAGATTACAAACTCTGTGATAAACCTTTAATGCATTCACTAGAACGCTATATTGTTGAATGTGAAATTGTAAAAGATTTTAGACCTCCTGGCCTCTTGTACCACCAACTGTGTAACTATTTCATTAAATCTGGTGTACTGGACGACATCCTAACAATTTATCCAAAATTTGCTTATCCATTTTAAAGAATGAAGAACAATTTTATTAATATTAATTTTAAGTTACATCACTTATAAACCCATCCCTGCCCATGTGTGGCAGTGCACAATAGAAAATTTATTTACATATTCGTACATTGATACATTGATTGTAACCATGATATATATATGTGCTTCAGCCTACAGTTTAGACCTATTATATTGTGCATGACCCTCTGTCCTGTGTGACAGTAAATACCAGCTTTATCCTCACTTTATTACGACTTAATTGAATTCCTCAGATTAGGCAAAACTGTAATTGTGTCATTAAAGATGTTATAAATAATAATAACAAAAGCTGGAGACTCAACACGTCAGCTGGAGTACAAGAACAAGCCAAAGGACAGCCGGGAGGAGGAGGAGGAGGAGTGGGACACATCGAAGAGCGGGTCTTTAAGGGTGGAATATCAAACTTAGGTGCCATTAGGTGCCCCAGCGGGTCAATAACGATCACAGGCGCCATCAACCCACCCCCCTTCTTCCCTCCCCCCCCCCCAGGGTCGTTATCGACCAGCTCCACTAACCATTCCTACCACCAGTAGCCATCCCCCCCCCCAGTACCAGTAACCATTCCTATCACTATAGTGTCTCTTCAACAACATTCCTCTCCCCCTTACACCGCTCCTCTTTCCTCATACCGCTCCTCTTTCCTCATACCGCTCCTCTTTCCTCATACCGCTCCTCTTTTCTCACCCTGGTCCATTTCCCCCCTCACCCTGCTCCTCTTCCCTGACATTGCCTTTCCCGTTTCATTATTTTTCCTTCCTCGTTCCTTCCCTTCCACACCCTTATCCACTGCCCTTAACCTGTTTGCTCTATCTTACTCTCCCTTTTAGTTGCCTCTCCTTGTTTCTCCTTCCTTCTACTCCAAGTTCACCCCCCGCGTCTTCACCCTGGGCCTCACTCTCGTATTGCCTCCTTCAACTCTCAACTGCACGCATGCTAGTCAATCTCAAGTCTTAGTAAATACATTGGCCGATCACACCCACCTCGTCTGATCAGCTGGTTTGATCAGCTGGTCGGATCAGCTGTACTGTCGTCCTAGAGACACTCCTCCAAAAGTAAAGGATCAACTAAAAGTGACCTGACGTCAATATGATTGTTGGAGAACAAACTTAAAAAAAGAGGCACATTTCTGTTGATGATTTAATGAGAGATTCCTAGACGTTCATAACAGGAGGCTTGGCCGGTGGAGAACTGGTAAGGAACAACACAATTCTTCCTGGCACGAATAAAGATGAATAAAGATGCCACTATGTCACTTTAACTTAAGCCAGTTATTGTGACATAGTTTGCAGAACCACATGGATAATTTCGGTCGTGGGTTTTAAAGAGGCTAAACAAAAACTATGCTAACCCACTTATCAGGTTCTGTAATGCCTTTCTAGATATTTGAGATCTGCCAAATAGTTTGAAACAAGCTATTATGGAAACAATCTGGATACTCCCCTAATTTATAGGCATCTCACTAGTAGACAAGGTGCAAGAGGAGATCAGAAGGATTTCTCAGGCTCATCAAACAGCAAGAGACTGTTTGTTACACTAGGTGTAACCAGTATTCAAGTTAATATAGCACAGTAAAACACACACACACACACACACACACACACACACACACACACACAGGTGGGACCAAAGAGCCAAAGCTCAACCCCCGCAAGCACAAATAGGTAAGTACACACACACACACACACACACACACACACACACACACACACACACACACACACACACACGACCAAAGAGCCAGACCTCAACACCCGCAAGCACAAATAGATGAGTACACACATTTTCACACACATTTCTACAATACATTGTCACACACATTTTCACACACCATTTTTGTGTCTGAGGGATAAAAAATAGTTAGTAGTTAGAAACAGTTAATTGACAGTTGAGAGGCGGGCAGAAAGAGCAGAGCTCAATCCCCGCATGCACAACTAGGTGAATACAACTAGGTGAATACAGAAAGAGGGCGCATACTCTCTGACCAAAGAGCCGAAGCCCAACCCCCGTAAGCACAACTAGGTGAGGTACACTCTCACACACAGTCCTTGGGATCAGTCATTGGACCTATACTGTTTCTGATATGTGTAAATGATCTCCCAGAGGGTATAGAATCGTTCTCTCATTGTTTGCTGATAATGCAATAATGCAAAAATTATGAGGAGGATTAAGACGGAGGAAGATAGTATGAGGCTTCAAGATGAGCTAGACAAACTGAATGAATGGTCCAACAAATGGCTACTAAAGTTCATTTCGAGTAAATGTAGATATGATAGAGCTTGAGAAGTTCAGAAATCTGTACACCAGTAGATAGACAGTTGAGAGGCGGAATCAAAGACCCCAAAGCTCAACCCCCGCAAGTACAGTTTGATGAATACCACAAGGTGAGTATAAGAAGGGAGAGGGAAGGGGGGGGGAGTATATAGTCAGTGTACAAGTTCACACACACAGGGTTGATAAGAGCTCCTCAACTGTCATTTATTCTCTTTTCCGAGGCAAAAGTGGGTCTTCACTCATGAAATCAAGGGTGGTACGCCTACACCCGTCACTCCCACACCGCTATACCTTCTCCACCACCCCCACCCACAACCACCCCTCTCCCCCTCACATCTCCCACTCTTTACATCCCCCCCACCACCACACCCCCACAACATACGACCCCCACTACCGGCACCACTGGTCATTTAACCCGTCGTCGCGGGTCGTCGACAGGATCCAGCAACGACAGCAGAATATGTTCAGGAAATCTAGCAGTAGGTTCAGCGTCATTGACCTGAACCCTTTCGCTCGAGCCTTTCCGTCCAGCATCATATCCCCCTTCTCTCTCTCTCTCTCTCTCTCTCTCTCTCTCTCTCTCTCTCTCTCTCTCTCTCTCTCTCTCTCTCTCTCTCTCTCTCTCTCTCTCTCTCTCTTCTCTCTCTCTCTTTCTCTCTCTCTCTCTTATCTCTCTCTCTCTCTCTCTCTCTCTCTCTCTTTTATCTCTCTCTTTCTCTCTCTCTTTCTCTCTCTTTATCTCTCTCTCTCTCTCTCTCTTTATCTCTCTCTCTCTCTGAGCGTATTTTTACCCTACCGTTTCCAGTTGTACACATCTTCCCTTTCTCTGTTTTAGGCAAATATTGGTCTTACTAGATAATAGGAAATTAGTACGCAATAGTACATATAGTACGCACAGGATACAGAATAACACTTAATGGGTCCTCAATCATATCTTTCCTCAATTATATTCAATTATAATCAATTATAAAAACCTTTGATTACTTTTATTCAATAATTTACGAGCTCCTACAAAAGCCATAACAGCTCTGGAGTTGACGAGGTTGCCAATCTCGTCAACTGTTTAATAAATACAGACTAAGCCACCATGATCTAGGCGAGATATACTGGCTTAGTTGACACGTAAACTGTTGATGAATCATCCTCATGATGAATCAAATATTGAATATCCTCCTAACCAGGATATAAACATAGGTCGGATTACTGACCAGCTTCAGCCAAAAAAAAAAAGATAATAATTGTACAGTACGGTTGTTTGCGGTTTTGGTTATACCGCGACCTGGGTTGGTTATACCACGACCTGGGTTGGTTATACCATGACCTGGGTTGGTTATACCACGACCTGGGTTGGTTATACCACGACCTGGGTTGGTTATACCATGACCTGGGTTGGTTATACCACGACCTGGGTTGGTTAAACCATGACCTGGGTTGGTTATACCGTGACCTGGGTTGGTTATATCGTGACCTGGGTTGGTTAAACCATGACCTGGGTTGGTTATACCGTGACCTGGGTTGGTTATATCGTGACCTGGGTTGGTTATACCGTGACCTGGGTTGGTTATATCGTGACCTGGGTTGGTTATACCATGACCTGGGTTGGTTATACCGTGACCTGGGTTGGTTATACCGTGACCTGGGTTGGTTATACCGTGACCTGGGTTGGTTATACCACGACCTGGGTTGGTTATACCACGACCTGGGTTGGTTATACCGTGACCTGGGTTGGTTATACCGTGACCTGGGTTGGTTACACCACGACCTGGGTTGGTTATACCATGACCTGGGTTGGTTATACCACGACCTGCGTTGGTTATACCGTGACCTGGGTTGGTTATACCGTGACCTGGGTTGGTTACACCACGACCTGGGTTAGTTGGGACCTTCATCGGTCCAGATTTACAGGATTGTTGTTGCTCAAGTTTCAGCTACTGGGAACAAAACGTTCCAAGTAGCACGGGCTATGGCGAGCCCGTAGTGACCTTCCCTGGCACAGGAGCGGGTCTGTCACTGCTTTATAGGGTTTGTTGATACATTTTCTGGTTCGCATTAGCGGAATCTTCACTGGGGTCATGTTACCTCCATTCCGGCTTACCTGTGCCCTCTAGCCAATCAGGAGCCACCTGGTGGGGTGGGGGGGGGGGGGGGGGGGGGGGGAAGAATGAAGGGTGGGGGGGGGTGGACAGAGGTGGGGGGGGGGGAAGAGGGGAAGGTGGGTGACGGGCCGTGTGGGGGGGGGGGGGGGGCGCAGGGGTTAAAATAGTGGAATGTGGTGTTGTATTTCGTGTGAGAGCTTTAACAGTGCTTTCCACCACCTACCTTTCCTGTTTCTTCTCTTCACCTTCTCTTCCTGCTCCTTCTTTCAACTCGCTCCTCTCTGTCACTCTTCTCAATCCGTGGTAGCTATGACGGCATCATGTTCTCTCGAATGTCATTTATTCTCTTCCTCGAGGCTTAGGGTCCTCACACACATTCAACCTGAGATGGTACGATTGCAATCATCACTCCGCAATGGGCGGGGTGTGTGAGGTGGAGCTGGATCTCTCCTGAGGGCGGGCTGGAGTCTCCTGAGGGCGGGCTGGAGTCTCCTGAGGGCGGGCTGGAGTCTCCTGAGGGCGGGCTGGAGTCTCCTGAGGGCGGGCTGGATCTCTCTGAGGGCGGGCTGGATCTCCTGAGGGCGGGCTGGAGTCTCCTGAGGGCGGGCTGGATCTCTCCTGAGGGCGGGCTGGAGTCTCCTGAGGGCGGGCTGGATCTCTCCTGAGGGCGGGCTGGATCTCTCCTGAGGGCGGGCTGGATCTCTCCTGAGGGCGGGCTGGATCTCTCCTGAGGGCGGGCTGGATCTCTCCTGAGGGCGGGCTGGATCTCTCCTGAGGGCGGGCTGGATCTCTCCTGAGGGCGGGCTGGATCTCTCCTGAGGGCGGGCTGGATCTCTCCTGAGGGCGGGCTGGAGTCTCCTGAGGGCGGGCTGGAGTCTCCTGAGGGCGGGCTGGAGTCTCCTGAGGGCGGGCTGGAGTCTCCTGAGGGCGGGCTGGAGTCTCCTGAGGGCGGGCTGGAGTCTCCTGAGGGCGGGCTGGAGTCTCCTGAGGGCGGGCTGGCGTCTCCTGAGGGCGGGCTGGAGTCTCCTGAGGGCGGGCTGGAGTCTCCTGAGGGCGGGCTGGAGTCTCCTGAGGGCGGGCTGGAGTCTCCTGAGGGCGGGCTGGAGTCTCCTGAGGGCGGGCTGGAGTCTCCTGAGGGCGGGCTGGAGTCTCCTGAGGGCGGACTGGAGTCTCCTGAGAGCGGGCTGGAGTAGCCTGAGGGCGGGCTGGAGTCTCCTGAGAGCGGGCTGGAGTAGCCTGAGGGCGGGCTGGAGTCTCCTGAGGGCGGGCTGGAGTAGCCTGAGGGCGGGCTGGAGTCTCCTGAGGGCGGGGAGTCTCCTGAGGGCGGGCTGGAGTCTCCTGAGGGCGGGCGGGAGTCTCCTGAGAGCGGGCTGGAGTCTCCTGAGGGCGGGCTGGAGTCTCCTGAGGGCGGGCTGGCGTCTCCTGAGGGCGGGCTGGAGTCTCCTGAGGGCGGGCTGGAGTCTCCTGAGAGCGGGCTGGAGTCTCCTGAGGGCGGGCTGGCGTCTCCTGAGGGCGGGCTGGAGTCTCCTGAGGGCGGGCTGGAGTCTCCTGAGGGCGGGCTGGAGTCTCCTGAGGGCGGGCTGGAGTCTCCTGAGGGCGGGCTGGAGTCTCCTGAGGGCGGGCTGGAGTCTCCTGAGAGCGGGCTGGAGTCTCCAGAATGAAAAAAAAGAGACGTGGGAGTAACAGCTGCTAGCGGTCTGTGAACTGAACATCAAGACTGTAAAGAAAATCAGTTTAATACAATCAGATGAACCAAACCCACCGTCGGCAGGTTCAGAAGGCCAGACTCACCAACCGGACAATCATCAGAGAATCCTACCGCCCCCCCCCCCAACCCCTCAGGTGAGGCTGATGGAGCAGAAAAACTCTGGAAATCGTCCACAGGTACCGTATATGCGGCCACTCCTGCGGCAGCTGCAGCAGCCAGGGCTCTCAGCGGCGCCCAGACCGGTACTCCGCGGAAACAAGAAAGCAACCAGTGAAACCTGACGAGGTTGCTGCCGGCGTCTCATCAGAGCAAGTCCGGTACGGCACACGCAGTCTCGTACGGAGAAATCTTGCTCTAAAACCTCCCAGTATCATAAATTCGCCAAGAGGATGGACAAAAAATATTGGAAAGTGAAATCTAAGAGTATCTCAAATCCCCAGTCAAGAGGGTAGAGAGTCAAGCGACGCTCAGATCACTAGAGCCCAGGCCACGCTCAGATCACTAAAGCCCAGGCCACGCTCAGATCACTAGAGTCAGGTGACGCTCAGATCACTATGAGTCAGGCGACGCTCAGATCACTATGAGTCAGGCGACGCTCAGATCACTATTGTCAGGCGACGCTCAGATCACTAGAGTCAGGCGACGCTCAGATCACCCAGCCAGGCGACGCTCAGATCACCCAGCCAGGCCACGCTCAGATCACCCAGCCAGGCCACGCTCAGATCACCCAGCCAGGCCACGCTCAGATCACCCAGCCAGACCACGCTCAGATCACCCAGCCAGGCGACGCTCAGATCACCCAGCCAGGCCAAGCTCAGATCACCCAGCCAGGCCACGCTCAGATCACCCAGCCATACCACGCTCAGATCACCCAGCCATTCCTACATCAAACATCATCTGCTTTCGAACTCTAAATCCCTTCCCTTTAAGCCGAGGAGAAAGTGGGACTAAGAAATATAACAGAGCTGGAAGCGCAAATGAGTCGTAGAGATCTAAGTAAGCATTCATCTCCGGTACGGGTGGCCTTTCCACTTGGACTGGACGGTAGAGCGACGGTCTGACTTCATGCGGGTCGGCGTTCAATCCCCGACCGTCCAAGTGGTTGAGCACCATTCCTTCTCCCTTCCCCCTAGTCCCATCCTAAATCCTTATCCTGAACCCTTCCCATGTGCTATATAGTCGTAATGGCTTGGCGCTTTCTCCTGAGAGTCCAGTCCGGTACGGGTGATCAACAAGGCACAATACGGTATAAGGGATAGGTGGAACAGGTGGTATAAGGAGCCATAGACCTTACTCCTCCGTTGTAACTGTTAGGCAAGTCCAACAGAGGGCGTGGAGGGGGGCGGGTCTGAGACGACACACGCCCGTTGTCTGGCCGTCAGCAACAGACGACTGACTGCCCGGGTCGGGGCCGCCCTGTTCTTACCCGCCGGCGGCGCTCCCGTGAGCGTCGTCAACCAGTCAGGTGTTGACGCTGGTGGACACCTTGTACAGGTGTCGTGCCGTACCTGTTGGGCAGTCGGGGAGGGTATATATATATATATATATATATATATATATATATATATATATATATATATATATATATATATATATATATATATATATATATATATATATATATATACAGTATATATATATGTCTTCATCTTCATAGAGTCCTGTCCTGTGGAACTGTGGTATTTGGCACACAAAGAAAAATTTTCTTTGGAGAGTCAACCCAGTTCCAGAGTTGCCACAAACTTCACGAGGGGAGCCATGACAGCCGGTTAAGCTTTAACAGAAGCAAGGGAGCCGACCCCAGCCCATCCATGCTGAGCACTCACCCTTCAGCAATCATCATGCAAAGACGGGTGAGGCTTGCCCCAAACACCTGGCCTCTACCCTTGGGTAGACAAGCAGATATTCTATGTTTATGGATAAGGATTGAGTAGGCACTGCCAGGTCGACCCGATCTTTCTCTCACTCACTGTCTTTCTGTGTCTCTGCCTCTTTGTTTTTGTATCTCTGTTTCTATGTTCCTCTCTATATCTCTGTTTTTGTCTGTCAATCTGTCTCTATCTGCATGTCTGTCTCTCTGTAAGTCTATTTGTCTCTGTTTCTTTTTTTCTCCATGTCTGCTTCTGTCGCTTTCTTTTTTTTTGTCTCTTTGTTTCTCTCTATTCTCTCTATATACAGAACCATTTTCTGTTCCTCACTAGTTACTAGAAGTTTGTACTGTACGAGTGACTGTGTTCTTCTTGTCAATCGGATACCAAAACTAACATCAAAATTGTCCGAATTTCAGCCTGACACGAACGTCGGAATTGCTCGGTTCATGCAAAAAAGGAACATCTGCCAGGCTTTTCCCCGCGTCACATCTTGACGGATGTGTTAGAAGAGTGTGGATGTGGCGGGGTTTAGGACAAATAAGCTTTATTTGACTTCTCTCCAGATATCTTCCCTTCAACTGTATTGTGTCGCGTTCCGACCAATACTTAAGAAGAATGGTCAGTAATAGAATTTAAAGATTACCTAATGCATGTTCAGGGCTGCTGGGGTTGCTACAGCAGCGGGAACAGCGGAGAATGCAGCAGCAGCAGCAGCAGCAGCAGCAGCAACAGTAGCAGCAGCACAAAACACTGCAGCAGCTGAAGACAAAGCAGAAGACGCAGCAGAGTGCGAAGAAGCAACAGCACATAACACAGCAATGAAACTGCAAAAGGAGCAGCAGCAGCAGCAGCAGAGGTGTATAAGCTTTAAAGCAGACACCATGCAGACTCCTCGCCTTCCCTTTGCCCTCTTCCCCTTCGAGCCGGCCACAACCATACTAATCTTTAACCCTTTCCCTTTCTCTCCCTTTACCCCTTCTCTCTATCACTTTCCCTCTCCCTTACTCCCCCCTCCCTCCTCTCTCTCTCTCTCTCTCCTCACCCCCTCTCTCTTCACCTACCACCTTCTCTCCCTCCTTCTCCTCCACCTTCCGACGTCTCCGGCACACCTTGCTCTGGGCCTAGCACGGTCTTGCCCCCACCAGAGCTGCTTATCGCGATATATAAACTCGTTTCGTTCATAAATAAGAAAAGTAATGATAGGCTAATATTATCTGGGCAATCACCAAACCCCTGGCTACATGTGTCCCTCTTGCCCGCAGGAATACTGGGCTCCACGAGCTATTCTGTTCCTATTCTCTGTCTTCCTATTCTCTGTCTTCCTATTCTCTGTCTTCCTATTCTCTCTCTTCCTATTCTCTCTCTTCCTATTCTCTCTCTTCCTATTCTCTCTCTTCCTATTCTCTCTCTCTCTTCCTATATGACTTTTCTTCATGCTCACCTGTTCCCCTCTCCTCTCTTCTGTTTCTCTTCCACTTACTGCAGTTCCCTCTTCCTTTTGTTCCTGTTCGTCATTCTCCACCTCCATGTCTCTCACACTTTGGTCTTTTTCCCCTCTCCCTTTTGCCTCTTAGCTCCCAGACGCTTCCTCCTCCTCCTCCTCCTCCTCCTCCTCCTCTCCTTATCGTCTCTCTTTCGTTCTCCTTCTGACACCAAAGTTCATGATTAGATTTATTCTGGTTCTTTATTTTTTTGCTTCTCTTTGTTTCTTATTCCTTCATTCATTCCATCTCATATAACGCAAGAAATTGGATCAAAGACATGATGTTGGCGAAGCAGACATGATGCTGGCGAAGCAGACATGATGTTGGTGAAGCAGACATGATGCTTGTGAAGCAGACATGATCCTTGTGAAGCAGACATGATGCTTGTGAAGCAGACATGATCTTTGTGAAGCAGACATGATGTTGGTGAAGCAGACATGATCCTTGTGAAGCAGACATGATGTTGGTGAAACAGACATGATGCTTGTGAAACAGACATGATGCTTGTGAAACAGACATGATGTTGGTGAAGCAGACATGATGTTGGTGAACCAGACATGATCCTTGTGAAACAGACATGATCCTTGTGAAACAGACATGATCCTTGTGAAGCAGACATGATGCTGGCGAAGCAGACATGATGCTGGCGAAGCAGACATGATGCTGGCGAAGCAGACATGATGCTGGCGAAGCAGACATGATAGCCAGGTGAGCCCTGGGGGGTGTTCAGCCCCCCTGTACACACGACCGTCAGGGCTTAACAGGACTATATACCGTAACCACCGCCGCGCGACACCGACAACCGCTCTCCCATAACCTTCTTGACGAGGAAACTATCGGCGGACACGAATTGAGAGTCACTCCAAGGGGGGAAAATGAGGGCCTTGAGATGATTGTCTTGAGACACGTAGCGATGGATGCCTTTAATTGACCTTAAAGGTTGCATTAGCAGCTCATAAAGTTCCGGTGGTAACGCAGGCGTGACTGGATGGGGAGGGGGGGAGGGGGAGTGGGGGGGAGTGGGGGGGAGTGGGGGGGAGTGGGGGGGGGCTGTTAATCACCTCTTGAGAGTGTTGGGCTCGTTCCTTCTGGTGTCTCTGGGACTTGCTTAGATGTATCTAAAGGGCCATTAGACGGGATGGGGGGGGGGTTAAGGGGGGCATGCACAGCCGCGCTCCTGTGCCTGGTAAGTTCACTACGGGATCATTATATCACGTGCTACTTGAAACTTTTTGTTTCGAGTAGCAACTCGGAACAAACAATTCTCAGAGGGACTGTATATGTGTGGTTGTGTGTGTGTGTGTGTGTGTGTGTGTGTGTGTGTGTGTGTGTGTGTGTGTGTGTGTGTGTGTGTGTGTGTGTGTGTGTGTGTGTGTGTGTGTGTGTGTGTGTGTGTGTGTGTGTGTGTGTGTGTGTGTGTGTGTGTGTGTGTGTGTGTGTGTGTGTGTGTGTGTGTGTGTGTGTGTGTGTGTGTGTGTGTGTGTGTGTGTGTGTGTGTGTGTGTGTGTGGTGTGTGTGTGTGTGTGTGTGTGTGTGTGTGTGTGTGTGTGTGTGTGTGCGTGTGTGTGTGTGTGTGTGTGTGTGTGTGAGTATGTGTATGTGTACACTCACGTAGTTGTGCTTCGGGGGTTGAGCTTTGGCTCTTTGGTCCCGCCTCTCAACAATAAGAGAATGTGCGTATGTGCGAGCGCTGAGAACAGAAGACCCGAATCAGTTTCCAAATGGAAGATGAATTCCTTCAGAATCAGACAGAGAAAGAATGGTGAGGTTGACAGCTTACCGAACCTGTTTCCTAAAGTCTCCCATCATGGATATCATTTAAAAGGTTGGCCGTCAGACATCTGCGTAAGGAATTATTCCGGATCTTACATATAACATACGTCAGACCAAACCTGGAGTATGCGGCTCCATGATGGTGTCCATATTTAGTCAAGACAAAACTGGAGAAAGTTCGCAGGTCCAAACCAGAAACAGAACGAAGTAGAGAGAGTTATGAGGAAAAGTTACATGAATTAAACC